AGGGTGGCCTTTATGGTAATTTTGTCAGCACTAGTTGTTTTTAAGTGCAGGCCAAGGTCTTGAGGCACTGCACCCAGTGTGCCGATCATCACTGGGACCACCTTGACTGCCTTGTGCCAGAGTTTGCAGTTCGATCTTTGAATCCTCCTATTGTATCAGCTTTTCCAGTTGTTTCTCTGCAATCCTGTCATTATTATTATTATTATTATTAGCTTCTTTGATTGCTTGCTACAGCTTCAAAAGACTCCATAGGATTTACTTTGTTAGTTTCCATCTTTTGCAGTCTTTGGCATGCCCGGACTCACCTTCCACTCTGCTTTACATCCACTTTAAAGCTAGAAGCAAGGGACTCAATTCTAATTATTATTTAAATTATTATTATTATTATTATTATTATTATTATTATTATTATTATTATTATTTTACTGACACAAAAACACAGCATGTCACAGCAAACTATTATTATTATTACTATTATTATTATTATTATTACTACTATTATTAGAGATGCAAAGAAGCTCACAATATTAATTGAAAATCTACAATATAGAAACATTTAAATAAATTAAGCATACAAATCAGTTAATATAGGATTAGTAGGTACTGGATAAACATAGTTCCCCATTACTTGAGAGTCACTATTGAAAACATCCCTATATATGCTATACCATGAACTCGAATGACTTGATATTACATTAGTATGAAACTATATTAAACTATGTGGAGTTGGTTGAGACTCATTGAAAAACTAAAGCAAACTGGACGTACCTTTTCCGCAAGTGGCCGAACACTCGGTGGTGCCGGTCCGCCGCCAATAGAAGTCGTGGGGGCTTTCGGAGTGGTGCTGTGGAGGTGGAGGCGGCGGCAAAGGCGGGACGCGGACGTTCCGCTGCAAGGTCCCAGGGCTGCGTCCCGATTGGCTGGCCGGAGAAGGAGCCGCCCCTCGGCTGCGTCCCGATTGGCCAGAGGGGGACGGGAGACGTGGCGGAGGAGCGTGACTCCGGGAATTGGATAATACCGGTCGCAAGTGGCTAGTTGGGGATTCGTGTGGGTGGCCAGGGGGTACCACTGTCAAGGCACCTGGTAAAAAGAGAGATACAGAGCATTCTGCCATTAGGGAGCCACAACTGAAAAGGCCCTGCTCACATTGTCATAAAGAAAGAGGCAGCTTTGCTCACCAAACTCTTGCCGGGAGTTATGGGGCTGCTCCTGGCGAGGGTTTTCCGATGGAGGAGAGGCCAGGAAGAACTGGTATGAGACGCCCGGGTTGTCTTGCTGGAAGATCATCTGCAGAGGGGTCAGGGGAGGGAAAAAGAAGGCATCCAGGCAAGGCTGAAGGGCAATGGGATGGCTTTGCTACACTAGGATGAATGCACTTGGCGGCGTTGAGCTGAATAGGCTTTCCTGATTACACTGAATGCGCTTTCACTGCATTAGGCTGAATGCACTTTTATGGCATTAGGCTGAATGCGCTTTTACGGCATTGGGCCAAATGCGCTTTTACAGCATTGGGGTGACTGCGCTTTTACGGCGTTGGGATGAATGCGCTTTTACCGCGCTAGGCTGAACGCGCTCCCTCCGCGCTAGGCTGAACGCGCTTTCTCCGCGCGAGGCTGAACGCGCTTTCTCCGCGCGACGCTGAATGCGCTTTCTCCGCGCGAGGCTGAACGCGCTTCCTCCGCGCTAGGCTGAACGCGCTCTCACTGCGCTAGGCTGAACGCACTCTCTCCGCATTAGCCTGAATGCACTCTCTGCATGAGACTGAACGCACTTTCTCCGCATTAGGTTGAACGCGCTTTCTCCGTGTTAGGTTGAACGCGCTTTCTCCGTGTTAGGCTGAACGCGCTTTCTCCGCGCGAGGCTGAACGCGCTTTCTCCGCGTAAGGCTGAACGCACTTTCTCCGCGTGAGGCTGAACGCGCTTTCTCCATGTTAGGCTGAACGCGCTTTCTCCGCGCGAGGCTGAACGCGCTTTCTCCGCGTAAGGCTGAACGCGCTTTCTCCGCGTGAGGCTGAACGCGCTTTCTCCGCGTGAGGCTGAACGCGCTTTCTCCGCGTGAGGCTGAACGCGCTTTCTCCGTGTGAGGCTGAACGCGCTTTCTCCGCGCGAGGCTGAACGCGCTTTCTCCACGCGAGGCTGAACGCGCTTTCTCCGCGCTAGGCTGAAAGCGCTTTCTCCGCGCTAGGCTGAACGCGCTTCCTCCGCGCTAGGCTGAACGTGCTCTCACTGCGCTAGGCTGAACGCGCTCTCTCCGCATTAGCCTGAACGCGCTCTCACTGCGCTAGGCTGAACACGCTTTCACCGCGCTAGGCTGAACGCGCTTCCACCGCGCTAGGCTGAACACGCTTTCTCCGTGTTAGGCTGAACGCACTTTTTCCGCGTTGGGCTGAATGCGCTTTCTCTGTGCTAGGCTGAACGTACTTTCTCCGCGTTAGGCTGAACACGCTTTCAGCCTAATGTCTTTTCTGCATTAGGCTGAATGTGCTTTTACTGCATTAAGCTTCATGCACTTTACTGCATTTGGCTGAATATCCTTCTGTTGCCTTAGACTCAAGATGCTTTTACTGCATTAAGCTGAACGCACTTTTACTGTGCTATGCTGAATGGTGTTTTTTCATGTTTTGAAGCCTTCAGAGAAACGCCGACTTCCCTATTTCCCCCTCCCTCCGCAATTGCGTACTCACATACACATCTATAGGCTCCGTGGTGGGACCGTCAGCTGTAAGGGATTCGCCCTCCCTCTTGTCGTTCCCGGGTCTGCTGTAGACGAAAACAGTGCCGGCCGCCTCATAACTGCCCGGCGGGTTCACCGCCCAGTTTCCATTGATGATGGATTTGCCATTATGGCTCCGAAGGGCTGGAAGAGAGCGGGGAGAGGGTGGACGTCAAACTGGTGGATCTACAGTCAGACCTACAGTCAGACCCGTGGACAGTCGGATCACTTACCAAGATAGTTGGGGCTAACACCCATCTCTTTGACCTGGATCCGTGTGGCCCCGGCCGGGATCTCCAAGATGCGGTGGTACCCGATGGGCACGTCCCTGTCTGTGTAGTTGCCCACCA